AACATAAATTACAAATAAATAATAAATACATTAAATAATAATATAATAAAAATAAATAAAATTAATATTCTACACTGGTGTATATTTTAAATATATTTTAATAATATTTCAATAATATTTTAATTATATTTTAAGTATTTTTTAAATATATATATTTTTTATAAGGAGGACTGGAGAAGTCCAAGAGCTAAAGGATTTTATAACTAATCCTTTTTGTAGTAGTAGTCTTTCAATTTCTTCTTCTATAAATTGTTCTTCTACTGAATTGGAATAATAAAATCTTTGTTTCACAGGTTTCTCAATTCCAGTATCTATTTTATATTGGATAATATTTGTTCATCCTAATTGACTAATATATGTCACAAATAAATTTTGGTTTTCTTCAAGTAACTGATTGAATTGGACTTGTTGTTTAGTACTTAAAGTACCAATATTCAATTCAGCTTTAATTAATGAATCTTTCAATATTACTGAGATTTTATCTAAAATATCCTTATCATATCACTATCATTTTCAGATTCAGATTCTGAATTGCTTTAATTATCTTTGAATTTAGTAGAATCTGAATTATTACTATTTTTATTATTTTCAATTTTATTCTCATTTTTTCAGAAAAATTCATTTCCTCCTCTGAATATTCAATACAGTCTTCAAAGACTTTATCATCATTTTCTTTTTCTTGTTCAGAAAATTTATTTTCACTTTCTGTTTCACTATTATTAGATTTTTCTTCACTTGCAGTTTCAGGAATTTTTATAATATTTTCTCAAATACAGGAGCAGATAAAATTAAATCTTTGTTTTTCCATTTAAGATTAACTCTTGGTTTTGCCAATTATAATTACCATTAGCTTTTAGGAGCTAGCTATTTTCCAAGGTGAGAGTATAAGTAGTGGCTTCAGTAACTTATATGTTAATAGGGATAGTATAAGCTGTAATATTAATAGAAAAGTCCCTAATGACTCCTAAAGATTAAGTATTTTTTCTTACTGTAGATAAAATAATACTATTGGAAAGTTTATCAATAGAATATCCTAATTGTTTCATTGTATCTAGAGTTATTATACTGATGACAGCACTACCATTGACAATAGCAGGTACAGTATATCCATCAATATCAATAGCACATTTTAATGAAGTAACTTGTGGTCAAAATTCCTGGTCTGTAGTTTTCATGTCAACTTTTCAGGGAGTTTTTAAATTCTTTAATAAAGTACATTTCATTCCAGGAAGTTAAAACAGTTGAAATTAAGTAATTCCAGCTTCTTGTTTTTACATTTGTTCAGCAATATCAAATTCTTTGATATGTAATAATTTAAGTATTTTCTTTTTCTCTTCCTTAATAGACTTTTTCTTTTCATTTGAGCTTTTTTTTATTATTCTTTTTGGTAATAGTAGGTTTAGGTTTACTTTTACATTTGGATTCTTTTTGGAAAGGAATTTCAAAAGTATTTACTTTAGAAATTTTAAAGTAATCACCAGTTTGAGACTTTTTCATTTCCTCATCCAAACTGTCTTTGTCTTATTCATGTTTTTTTAAATAAGCTTCCAAGAGCTAGTTTAATAATCTTTCTTCATTACTACTAAGTTCATCTTCAGTTACCTCAGCATATCTAACAGGATTATGATAATTGTGCTCATTATTCTGGTTGTATTTATTGTTATTATGATTATTCTCTCTATTATTATTTTTATTACTGCAACTAGGTTGCTGACAGTATTAAGTAATATGTCCTTCCTTACCACAATTAAAACAAACAGTTGATTGGTTATTTGATAAAGGGTTATAATTTTAATTATTATTGGAATAATTATTTTGGTTATTATAGTTTTGATTATGAAGAAGGGATTCCTTAAAGTTTACTTGATTCTAAATTGTGTAAAGATTTGAATTTATATTACAGATTTAAGTAACAATCAATATTAATTAGTCACATGATAAATAGCATAAGCCACATGTCCACATAATATAATTAATAATTATTATTATATAGTATTATTATTACATATTATTAATTAATAACATTTATTATTATCTATTATTATTTAATATTATATATATATTTAGTAAATAATATAGTAAATATAATAACCCATTGCTAGTCAAATACAAAAGAATCACTGACCAAATGGTGATTCTTATATTATAGATCAGAATCCTATATCATAGACCAGCTAAAATCAACTGTTCTAATGTAACCTATATTATAAATCAGCTAAAATCAGAATTCCTTTTTGTGCTACCTGTGAAAATGTTGTCTACGGGTTCTTGATTTGCTGTCCTACTCTCCAGATTTTAATCTGATTGAAAACTGTGTTAATAATGAAAAGAAATGTCAAAAAGAAAGTTGATTGTTATACAAAAATTTTTAATTGTCAGTTTTTTCTACTGGAACTGTGTATAAAATACAGGAATCTACAGTTGCCACTAAGAAAACTTATTCTTTTACTTTTATTGAACAAGAAATTTTTAGTGAATCTGAAAGCTGAAGTTTTTCTGCTATAATAAATTATATGAATTAGTACTACCCCTGATTGTAACCGGATCACGAATTATTTTCAATATTAAATTAACTAATTGAAACTTATTAATAAACCCAAATAAATTTGAGATACAGTATCATTCTTTTCGGTTCTTATAATAGAAACACAAAAATTTTTACACAGATATATTTATGTTTGAATTGATTATTGTTGCTAACGAGTTGGATTATCTGTGAAATTATAAATTATTTTATTGAATATAAAGCTCTTGGTTAAGAACTCAATTTTTAAACGCATCACATCCAAGTATATTTTTGAATCTGCAGAATTCACTTCTCTTCACGAATCCACTTCAGATTCTCTTTAAATGTGATGATTTACAGATGAAAGAATCAAAAATTTGGGTGGCATGTCATGTTTCGTATCTGCATTTAAAAATAATATATTTACTATCTAAAAGTTATTTTATAATTTTAAACATATAAATTTTATATTATCTTAACATTTTATAGGTTATCACACCTAATAATTTTTGTTACTGGACATACAATCATCCTTCTAACTAAATAATCTAAAAAATCTAAATTTTAGTTTATTTCTATTTTCAGAAATTTACATTTCGAAAATTTTTTCCAACGCAACGTTTAATTATGTTTCGAAGTGGATGTTGTGTCGTATATAAAAAATTACTGATGTTGTAGTCAAATATTACGATGACTTGATAATATATAACCATCAAATACTATTTCAAAATATTATTCTAAATAGAAAAATGTATTATTAAATTTGAATTTAAATTAATATACATGTATAATTAATATGTAATTGATACGTTTATTTACTTTTTGCATTTATTTGAATTAATCTTAATTTTATATTCCTTTTTGTTTCATTAGTGGAATACCAATAAATACTAAATGTAAATGGAATGACATGTTTAATTTTCTTGATAAATCTCTTAGAATAATAAATAAAAAGGTAATTATTTTATATTATAATTTACATTATATTCGTTATATTTTCAAATTTATATATATATTTTTTAGAATATTGCATTTACCGATTTCATATACTTTCACAAGCTTAATATAAAATTATGAAGGTGATTAATAAAGGAAAACACTATGCAACGAAGTATTCAAAGCTCTAAGAAATGGCATGTTAATAATAATAATAATAATAATAATAATAATAATAATAATAATAATAATAATAATAATAATAATAACAATAATGATAACAATAATGGTAATAATTATAATTATAGTAATAATAATAATGATGATGATACATATTAATGGAATAAAACGTTTAATAATAAACATGAAGAGAAGGTTAGAATGTGGTAATGATAACGATTTAAATGAAGAACGTACAAAGAAAGCATTAGAAAATGTAAATGTAGTTATTAGTATGAAAAAAAGGAAGAAATATCAAATATTAAAGTGATGATGATTAAAGATGAAAAACGTTAATGTAATAGTACTTTATATATTTGAATAATTATTTGTGAGTAATTGAAAATAATAAATACGAATTTTTTTGATTACATTATGTATATTACAAATATATAATAATATTATATAATAAGAAAGTATATTATTTAATATTCAATTGTTCGATTATTTTGTACATTTAATTGATTTAATTTATCAACCACATCAAATAAATTACTTTGAGGATAAAAATCTAAAGTTACTCTAATAATATGATCAAACTTGTCTTTAAAAATATCAAAAAAATAATCTAAGTATTCATAATTAGTTTTATTAGCTAAATCTTTTAAACATAAATTACCAGGATTCGTGTTATTTTTTAAGGAATCTTCTAGTCCTATTAATCCCAATCCAACTCTATATAATAAAATATGTTATAATAATAAAATATATTAATTTATTAGAGAAAAGTAGAAAGATAAAGAAAGTAGACAAATAGAAAGTTTACTCACGTAGCATCAATTGCTTGCCATCGAATATATCCATAATTTTTTTTATCATCATCTATTACAGTCGTCACATTATTACTCCACCCAATAAAACTTTCATTTAATTGTTGAGCAGTTAAATCACCCGCCGTATAAGTATAACTTGGTATAAAATAGGAATCGATACTATGTATCCAATCTTTACGTGTATTAATCGGTGAACCTAACTCAGAATATAAATCACCAAACCATATAACAATTCTTTGATTTATTTCAATCATTTCTTTTAATTTTGGCCAACCATTTTTTTCTTGTAACATTAATGAATATCCCGTTCCATTTACAAAATAATATTCTAATTTGTTTTGAATGAAATTAGCTATAAATGTCGCATTAGATCCATCATAATCACCAAATGCTATATTAAGGATTTCATTAGGATTATCTTCCATAAATTTTTTTATATCTGAAAATATTGAATCTAAATCTGCTCCTAGCGCACGTCTTACACTCTTTCCATGACAGAATACTACACTATCACTTCCTACTTGACATGTATCAAGATCCAAAAATCTGATTCCTAATATATAATAAGTGTAATATAACGTATATATACAATACAATGTAAATAATAAAAATAAACATAATTAATTATAAAATTAAAGATAATAATTGAAAAAAAAAAGCATAATAATAATAAATCAATTATACATAACGAAATAAATAATAAATTTACCATCTTCAAGTTGCTTTTTAATAGGAGAACCCTCATTATTTTCCCATAAACATTCTAAAACTTTATCAGGAATATCTTTTTTTTTACAAGCATCTCTTATGAATTCACATGCATTTCCCGATTTTTGGCATACAGTATGCCAAGCAGCACATAAAACATCACTCGTTTTACAAATGGAATTAAATAAATCGCCAGTCCATTGAAAAAAAGTAGGATTCCAATCTTTAAAAACAATTGTTTGAATATCGCAACTTGTCGTTCGATTATTTTTACAAGCTTCATATTGTTCGTTACATGAATTTGAACCATATTTAAGTAAACAAGTATCGGCGAGATTATCACAATCATAAGTTAGATTATACGCTGCACTATTATGAGTTCCAGCGAAGGTCTAAATTTAAAGAATATTTATAAAATAAAAAAAAAATAAAAATAAAAATTAACAAATTAATAAAATTATAAATATATTATATTCTACAATAAATTAAATTAATCAAATATAGTATAAGTATAGTATACCACTTGATAAAAATACAAATCACAGATATTTGGATCACCATTGCATTCTGCGGCAACTAATATATTATTATTTGTTAGTAAATTTATTATATTTATGATAATTATGATGTTTGTTATATCGAATATTTTAATAATTTTGAATCGCTTCATCTTTCTAAGAAATAACATAATAGCATAAAAAATAATAAAATAAATATATTATAAAAATAAATATTCAATAGAAAAATGGAAAAAAATAAAAGGAAAATTTTTAAAAAAAATTAAAAAACTTACTTTTCGCAATAAAATAATAAATGCGTTACAAAAGATGCCTTTTATAAATTTTAAATAACAAGAATAATAAGATAAAATTGAAAATGATACGCTCAATGAATTTACTATTATTATAACATCTCTTTTTGATAATGCATTTCCCTTTTTGATCGATTTCCGCTTCAACAACAACATTTACCAGGAAAAACTATATTACTATAGATAAATAATGGACATTTCCTTCCGTACACAATATTAATGTATACAATATAAAATACAATAAATATATACAGTATATACAAAATTAGCATTAAATTCATTATGTTGTACATATCTACGCCACAACTTTTTAAATGAGTACGTATTCATTCAAAGATAAAAATCATCGAACCTAAAAAAAGAAATGATAGACCCAAAATCTCAACTTTATTATTGAAATTATTCATATTCACCATAAAAAAATTTTCAAGTTACCGAAATATTATCTAGAGATTTATAACAGACAGAAAGGTTTAACAGGTATTCTATATCTAGAAATACTGAAAATGTGTAAATAAAATGAATATTATCCAATAAAATTTGTTGTTGCATTATTTTCGATTCATTCTTTCAATATTATCTAGAAAAGATCTTTAAAATAAAGATTCCTGAAATGTGTAAATAAATGAATATCATCCAATAAAATTCGTCCCATGTGATTAAAATAAACCATAAAAAGGTGTGGCTTTTAGACTGTGTGCACCGTAGTCAAATATACAATATTTTTATTTTTATTGTAGATCTATTTTTTTTTTTAAAAAAAAGGGAGCAGTTCCATCACGAGATTTCCAAAATTAATTGATATTAGAGTGAGAACCGGGTTAGGGTTAGGGTTTAAGTAGATATTATATGTAAAATTTCCTCCCTGACACATTTTATTAATGCACCAAGATACGTTTAGATATCTGTTTCTTGTATTTTTCATGTTTTCATCTTTTTCTTCGTCGTATTATAAACAGATTCGCGATTTTGATTGGCCATAGTCTACGGAAATCTCGTGATGAACTCTGCTTTAGATGACTAAATTAAAGAATATAAATAATATATTTGAACACGATTTAAAATGTGATTAAGTGTAATAATTAATATGTAATATTCAACATATTCACTATGACAACTGATAATATAATTATATTGGTCTATTATTTTCAATAATCAATTCTTGTAAATATTTCTTATTATTATTATCATAAATTATTAATTTGTGATTCGTGAAAAATGGAAAGATCTGCATAAAAAATTTACATAAACATGGGGATAAATCATATAGTAAAATACATATACGTTATAATCTCTAACCAGACTTGGTATGCCATGTCTAAAAGACCTATTTTAGAAGTAAAACTTATTTCGTTCGGTCAAATAATACCTAGGTTACATTATGGAGAAAATTCTCGTGATTGGTGGATTTATAGAAATAAATTGTGATTTCGTGACAGGCACTTTTCTTTATCCAATAAGAGTTGGCTGGCAAACTGTATTCAAACAAAATAAAAGACAATTTTATATGCATATTACGGAAGGACATGAAACTAATGAAACACAACCAGGATATAGATGTACTTCTGGTAGTAAATATAGTGATATAGAATCAACACCAAGTGTAGCAATTACAAGTTTATATAAGACTTTTTTCAACACAAAAACTAGGTTTTCTGTTTCACTTATATTGGGATGGGATGGTGAAAAATTATTAGAAATATCATTAAAAGATGTTTATTTTTGTGCATTAGGTTTTAAAGTAAAAAATTTTTGATTTATGTTACAAATATTAGTATTGGAAATAATACAAATATGATGGGATATATATCATCGTTTATTGGAGAATATGAAAAAAAAAGATCTTTATTTGTACAACGAATAGAAAAAAACAATTGTCAAATTACAATATATACATCTGAGAATAATTCAATTACTTTTTGTGGCACAAACCCAGATGATACTTGGAAAAACGTTAGATTATATAAAAAATTTCGTGGAATGGAATTATTTGGTCTTGAACATTCAATAACACAAAAGATTATTCACAATAAACAATATGTAACTTGCACTTCTGCTGCATGAAACAATGAATTATTGATGAATGATATATACAATTATCACTTACAAAAACGAACTATTGCAGATATAAATTGGAAATCTTTTTATATTGACTGGTTAAATCAACATAGCATAATACTTGAATTACATAAAAATTATAAAAATTGTATCCTTCCAATTATATATTAGATAATCGTGAACTTCGTGCATGGAGAACTATGCTAAAGAAGTTGGATATGTAAATATAACACCATTTGAAAAAAATGAATCCAAGGCAAGTTAACTAATTTATAATGTCATTATATACATATTATTGTATAACGGATAATAAATAAATAAATAATAATAATTTTTTTTTTAGTATGAATTTGGACGCGCAATGAAAATTCTATTATTGATCAAAATATTTTACAAAACTTATATAATAATGGATTTTTACAAGCCATTCCAAAATATATAATCAATGTTAGTAAGGAATTTTGGAAATGTTTTGAAGAATCACTAAATGATGATAAAATTCGTATTCTTTCAATAATTGACAATAACTTTACATATGAAGAATTACAAATTCATCTCAAGATAAAAGAAATTTTGAAAAATTATACTAAATTTACTATTTTATATTTATTTAATTTTGAATATTTTTATTTATTTTTAATTCTGATTTTTTTTATTTAATTAATTTCTAATTTTGTTTATTCATTTATTTTTAATTCTAAATTTTTTTTATTTATTTTAATTTTATATGGGTTCTTCAAAAATTATTGCCAAGGCTCGAACTCATTACACTATAAATGGTCCAGGATGTCCCATGTTAAATAAACCTATTATTACAAGAGTTCGAATTACATAAGAAATGGAAAAACAATTTGAAAAATTTTTTTCAGATAAAAATATAGTAAATTTAAAGAATAGATAAAAATGGATTGCTACTCAAATATCTCAAAGGTAAAAAAGAAACATGAAGGAAAAATTATTTTGAGCTATATTCCGATGGTATGAAACGAACTTTATTTTAACAAGATTACGAGATGGTCCTTATCTTTATAAAGATGTTTTAGGTGGATTGTGTCTAACATGTGCTGAATATGGATATGGCGTATTTGATAATCTAAAAGAGCTAGTTATTAATGATATTATGAATAAAGATAAACAGGTTAGTTATTTATAATTATAAATAATTATATTTATTTGAAAATAATATTTGGACATGTGATTTAGTAATCAATTGAAATTTTATATTTATAGAATAAACTTATTAATGAAATTGAATATGTGCAATGACATTTAAAACGTGCATATGAAAAAGAATTAAAAATCGACCGTTTTGGTTATACTCAACATATAGATTGTCTTGAGCATTGTATTACAAATGCATTTGGTCAATGTTCAGAATCACATCATTCTATTTGAACTGAATGCAATAAAGTAGGCGATCTTTTTCAAGCATTAATCACTCGGATGTCTCAAAATATTGAAAAAATTATTGAAAATCAAGAAAAATTACAATATTATTGGTCACATCAAGTTCATAAAACATATATCAATGCACAATTTAATGCAAATTTATTAAGTTTGGATGAAAAGGGGGCAATTATTATTGTTTACTATAAAATAAAGATTTTCCTAAATCACCACAAGAAGTCAAATCAGATTTTTTTGGTAAATCTAGATGGACATTGCATTCAATGCTAATATATACTAAAAAAAAGATAATTTAGAAATTCATGCTTTTGATCACTGGTCTTCTGATACAGTCAAGATGCATGGTTTATTACTTCTGTATTTGAAGTTGTTTTCAATAGTTTAGATGAAAAATCTCTTTGGATAAAGATTATACACTAATCAAAATTTTTAAACACCACACCTATCAGGTGTCCGATAGGTGTAAGAGTAATGTACAGTCATGTTAGAAAGTAACACCCAATTTTATTGTGCAATGAATCAAGATTTTTATAAGGGATTTTTCCTTTTATTTTTTTTTGTTAATTTTTTTTTATTAATATATGTTTCTTGACTGTATGAATATTGTATAATAAGTTGTACAGTCAAAAATGACATCCATGCATACTTAGTTAACCCTTCAAGATAAGGGGAAAATACTTGCATTTATGAAACTTTAAATTCTATTCAGATTGCAAAAAAAAAATGGAAAGGAATCCAACCACAATATGTAGATTTATTGCCAAGTACAAGAAGACTGGGAATTTCAAAAATTTACCACAGTCAAGATGGCCACCTGCTCTTAATAATAATGAAAAAAATGTACTTGTGACTGAAGTCTCAAAACAATGTCATACACCATTAATGTTGAATACTCAGCACCAACCTTTAGAAGTTGTAGGTATTCAGTAATGATGTGGAATGTTTTATAGGAGAAATTAAAGATCCATTGGTATTTTGTAATAAATATAAAGAAAAAAACAAAAAAATTAATGTGGATACTTATATAAAAGTTTTAGAAAGTCATCTTTTACCATTTTATAATGTAGCTTGTAAATTAATTAAAAGGAAATTACTATTTTAACAGGATAATTTGTCAATCAATATAGCAAAAAAAACTGCAAAATGGTTTGAAACAAAAAAAATAAAATTATTAATTGGTCAACAAATTCACCCAATCTAAATCCTATTGAAAACATTTGAAAGTTATTAAAGAACAATATTCAAAAAAAAACTATTTTTCAACATTAGAAAATTTTAAGAAGTAAAAATTTCTGGAAATTTTTGGTCAAATAAAAAGCTTTTTTATTATATAACATAAAATTTTAGAACAAAATTTCCAGAAATTTTTAAAAACTTATTTATTTTTCAAGTAAGTATATTGGTTTTTGATGAGGTTAGACACCATTACTATCTGTAAAATCTTCATTTGATGTTGTATTTCTGGGTTGTCCAATATCAGGAGATTTTTGAAGACAAATATATCAAGATATTTTTCAGTTTAGAAAAAATCTAAATAAATTCGCAAATTTATATAAATATATTCGCAATATTCGAATTTTTTCAATTCTTAAATATCCAGAACAAATATATCTAGATATTTTTTAATTTAGAAAAAATTCAAATAAATTTGCAAATTTATACAAATATATTTGTATATATTTAGATTTTTTCAATTCTTAAATTATTCAGATATATTCACCTATCAGAAAATTTTTGGAAATAAATATATCCAGATATTTTTTGGTTTAGAAAAAATTCAGATAAATTTGCAAATTTATGCAAATATATTCGCATATTGGATTTTTTCAATTCTCAAATATCTGGATATATTTGAAAATTATTTGAAAAATTCATAGGATATTTATTGCTCTTTGCAAAATTATGCGGTCATGTGATAAAACAATCTACTAATAAAATGCCGAAAACCAGTAATTACAAAATACGTGTCATATGAAAAAATTTATACAGTGCATACAACTTAGTCCTAGCAAATAAGTTTTTAGGCAACCAAATTTTACTTGTAAATCTTTCATCACATGAGCCAGAAATTTTGTAATATTATTGACTTGCATTTATCTACATGACATGCTGATATGGAGAAAGAATCAGGTTCATTAAAAATCATAAAAAAAAAAAAAAAAACTTCGATTTTATTTTTTTAAAAATTTTTAATAAAATAATTTTGCAATT